ACTTCAGTTCTACATACCATTTTTCTAACTTCAACTTCAAGCACTCTTTATTTATGTTTCAACCAAATTTATGTCCTAAGTATAACCTCTAGTATATAGCTCATCTGTCAGTTTTGAGTATAATTGCACGATAAACAATTTTAATGCACCATTTTGATCCTAACATAAATCCCCTGCTTAGCTGTAGTATTAGTGTGTTTATCAGATAAGATATTATAGGGCGAGTTTTAGTGCAACATTAGAGTTGCTTCTTTGATGACTTGTAAATCACGGGTCGGAGAAGTAAAAGCAGTCTGTTTGCAGAAATGCAAGAGGAATGTTGCATACAGTATGTGCCTACTCTTTTCCTATCCGTGTGCTAGTTAGGGAGCATTTCATGCACGTTAAACAGTTTAACATACAGTATGTGCCTACTCTTTTCCTACCTGTGTGCTAGTTAGGGAGCATTTCATGCTCGTTAAACCTTTTTAGCGGTGTACATTTAACTAGTTTTCGAGGCATGAACTTGTCTGTCTGCAAAATGTATACTTTGCTAAATGATAGTGTTTGAATCAATCAACTAAACCTCTGTTCCAAACTAATTGAGTTTGGTTATGAGTTCTCTACGTTCACTTTGCTCTATTGGGGCCCATTTTATTTCAATACTCAATAAATTGTCTTTTAAGACAAATTTAAGGGTTATCTGAAACTAGAGTTTTTCTAGATCTCACACTTATTCCTGCCTTGTCATACAAATCTTTTAGCAAACTAGTAAGATTCTTGTGCAAGTGTATTGTAGGTTTAACAACAATTAAGTCTTAGTCCCGACTAATTGTTATCATCTTTTTTTTAGAGAGAAAAAGATGATCCCAAATTGTTGGAACTAAGATGTAGTTGTTGTTAAACCTACAATAAGTGTCACACTTGTACTGAAGTTGTAGGTTTTCTAGGAGAACATCCCTCTATATGATTTTCGGTTTAGGTTCTCTTTTTGCACTTTCCGTCATCATTGTATCACACATGCATACTGATGCATTCGTAGGTTCACACAAAACATGACCAAACTATACTCAAGTGTCCTTTTCTCATTTTATCATTTATATGTGTCACTTGGACCCTCTTTCGGATGTGAATCACTTTTAATCTTGTCTAATCCTCAATTTTATTTTGTCTAATATTGTATGAAGCACATCCATCTTATCATTTCTTTGTGAATTTGCTAAGGGCCAATATTCATCTTCATTTAATATTTGCTAGTTTTGCAACATTTGATATAATTTGCTTTTTTGCTTTAGTATGTATGTTCCTATTCCTGTAGGCCATAGGATATGCTATAGCATTCCCTAAAGAATTAACTTAGATATCTAAATCGTTTTCATTTAGGCAGACACTATAAGTCCTGTTTAATTTGACTTCAATTTTATTTTATTTGAACAATATAATAAATTGAACTAACAAAATTATAAAATGGTGCTAATGGATAGTGAGAAGCTGAACTGGAATGAGGTGCCTCCCATTTGATTCAAATCAGCCTTTTGACCTCAACATATTCTTGCTAATCTCGTTGTTATGGAGTATGATGAAAAGAATAGTGACGTGCTTCTGTTACACTAAAACCACCTGCTCTCTTTTTATGACTAGTATAAACAGGCCTAGATATGTTGCCTTACAGTTTGTGATGGTTCATGCTCCACCACTTTGATCCTAATTACCCTTAGAACAACCATCTAAATTAAGTTTAACGAGGGAGGAAATTCGCTCCAACTGACTACTGTTAATGTGTATATTTTAGTTGGAAATGAAGTCGTTAGGAATAGGCCAACATAAAGAGGAAGGATGAATATGAGGAAGATGTGGGTAGATAGTCATTAACCCACTTAAATTCTATCTCTTGATCGGAAAAAATAAATCCTGTATCAGATATGCTTAGAAAGAGAGGGCATCTGGGAACCCACAATTTCTAGCGAAATACACACCTGACACCACTATCATGTATATGTGCACTTAAAAAGTACTATAGCAAAGGAGAAATTCACTCTCTACCTATTCCTCTGATATATTAGAGCTCACAGTGCTTTTTTTTTGTTTTCATGACAAGGGAAACCCGCACCCGCTACCCTTTGGGTGCGCACAGGGTAAAACCCCCGCTCCTATGCAATAACTCGCAAACCACATAGGAGAGGTAACCCACACTAGGCAAGCCCGGTGCAATGAGCTCGACCCAGAAGGCAAATCCCTTGCTTTCGCTGGCAAGGGGTTTCGAACTTGAGACCTTCAACATGGAAGTCCCAAGCCCAAACCACTGAGCTCACAGTGCTTTATGAAGAGGAAAATAGTAATTCTTTTTCCTGCTTATAGCCTTGGGGATGCAGAATACAGATTCATTCACCTTTAAATGCTTCAGCATTATCTAGAGTTTTGTCAATTTAATGAATAGATGAAAGTTGGTTAATACACTTCAAGAGAAGAACTCTTATAGTGCACCCTATTTGTTGAACTTCTAGTTAATTTCTAGAATGCTCAAAGCTAAGATACACTTAATTGTCTTAAAATCAACAATAATACAATTACTTAATGGGCAAATGAAAATAATAATGATTTTTGAGGTTACGTTGACTGGAGAAGAGGATAAGAGAAGAGAGCTTTTGGTTGAAGATACAGGTTAGTCTTGCATTTAGGGTGTCAAATGAAAACGAAAGAAAAAATAGAAGGGAAACAATCGTGTATTAGGAGATAACTAATTTGTATTTCTCCTTCTATCCCTCCCACTTACGAGAGACAGTTTTGATTGGGCATAGGATCTTATATACAAAGTAGTAAAAATCAAATAAAGGAAGAAAGGTGGTAGCAAAGACACAGTTTCAACAAGCTCTACCACCTGGCTCCCCTGCAACGCGTAAGAACTATTCATATTTGAATGGGCAGCTTGTACATGGCGCCTTCTGATACAGCAAGAAGGGTACATTTACTAGAAGGAACTTTTGGTACAAATAGATTGCTTACACATTTGATTTTACACGGTCAACTATTGAATAGATGCTCTCAAAAGTTAAGCTGTAGATACAAGAAAATGTGCAAGATTCGAATAATTTGTCTATTGAGATGATACTCAACAAACTAATGAACTGGTGAAACATTAAATCCATCTATCACTACATATGCTTCAGTTGCTACTATCTGGTAATTATATGATGTATACGCCTGTAGGGTCTACTCAAACAGGTGCATTATTGATCTTTCCACCATCTCTCTTTATAAGCATGATTAGTTGACAATGGAACCAAGGGTCACACTTCTGTTCAACCATACCATGTGAAGTTCTTTTAAACAAAATGTAGAGTGCACCCTCCATTTTTGTCCTTATGATTTACTTTGAATTTCTTGGTTTTGATTACTGATTACTGAGAGGAGGATATTAAAACTTGCAGTCTGTTTTACTCTTGAAAAAAATATTGTTCTTTAAGGGTTAGTTTTCAAATTTTGATGTGCGATTTGTTTTGTGGTACACATTGGTTAACTGGGATGTTTTTTTTTTTTTTTTTAGAATCCATACATGGTGAACATTATCCTGGCTGGATATGACAAGGAGACAGGCCCTTCTCTATATTACATTGATTATATTGCTACTCTCCACAAGGTGGATAAGGCAGCATTTGGTTATGGCTCCTATTTCTCTCTTGCCATGATGGATAGGCACTACCGAAAGGACATGACAGTTGAAGAAGCTGTTGATTTGGCAGATAAGTGCATCATAGAAATCCGATCTAGGCTGGTTGTTGCCCCACCAAACTTTGTGATTAAAATTGTTGACAAGGATGGAGCCAGGGAATATGCTTGGCGCGAGTCTGTCAAAGATGCCCCCGTTTCCAACATCTGAAGCTCTGTTTTTATGTTATGTTTACTCTTGATGCCTATGAATCTTATGTTCTGGGAAAAAAACTTTAGTCATTGTAACTGCCTAAAAATCTGACGCTACAAGTATTCACTGTTTGATCGATACACCCGTTGTGTTAAAGATTTTAGTTTTAATTACTTTCGAGTTTCAGGTCGATAGAAAGCTGGTATTGTGAGACTTCTCTTATGTTTCAACTATCCCTTTGTGTTATGCTGGCATGTCTCTTCATTGATTTGGAAGAATATAGGGGTAATACAGTCGTCGCCAATTTGCTTCACCCCAAAAAAGAGTTTTGCATGGATTGTGAGTAACAAAAAGAAAACCCAACAATACAAATTGAGAATAAAAAGCTGCCGGTGACTCCAACTATTCTCATCCCCCCTCCTAAGTCCGGCCTGCATAATGCCTCTCTCAAAAAAAAAAAAAACCAAGAGGGAGCTATGTACACATATATTTCATCTAATACTGTCCTTATGACATGTAATTTAATCAAATTCACTAGATGTCCACACCAATTGATCAACTGAAGCTAAGAAGTTCAAAGGAAGAGGAAGAACAAGCCTGGGCAAGTTGATAAACTGAATGGCTGTAGTAAGACAAGTGTTTACTCATATTGGATCTTGCATCGCTTTTCATTCATATGGTAAGAAGATTATGTGTACACAGATACTGATGAAGCAGTACATGTCAACTACAGGAACTTAACAAAGAATTTTTTTGCCAGTAGTTTTACATCTATCCACAGAATTCTGATCTTAATATCTTCCAATCAAACTGTCTGTTTATGACGCCATGAAAGAGACAATATTAACTAAGTTGGTGCTTGCAAGAGAGATACAGGAGAATCGACATTGCAGATACAACCCATAGACGGTAATTGCACATTAGTTCTATGGCTGATGAACATTTTGTTGTGGCTTGAGCATCATGGCTAGGATCATCATCAGCATCGGAGGGTGGAGGTGGTAAACTGCCTGATCCTGGTGGATCTTGAGGTGAAGGGTTATCATGATCACCTGCAATAAAGTGATAATTCATTTTTTACTAGAAAATCAACTTCCACCTTCAAATTTCATACCCCTGGTTTTATTCCTTCCTTCCTTTTTTGTCCATTAGAACTAGTATCGGAAGTTTCTAAGAACTGCAGTTATGTGACTTTGATTATCACTTTTATAAATGTTATATAAGAGATATAAATGTTAAGTGGTAGCAAAGTATTCATCAATATGGAAGGGAACAATTGGAATGTCAAAGTTATAAGCTTGAAGAAACAGAAGGTAAGTAACTTGCCTGGATTTGGAGTGCTTGGTGGTCTAGGAGAGCTAGGGGGTGTAGGACGCACTGGTCTTGGACTTGAACCCCTGTGATCTGCTAGAAATTCTTACACAATGAAGTGATCAGGAGATTCTGAACAAGTAGTATCACCAATTTGGTTGTGACAAAAGATCAAAGGAGAATTACCTGTTATTGATCTAAAAGGAGGCAGCGTAGTTGAACCTGAGTCACGGAAAAAAAGATCATGAAATGGCTGATCTTTGAATGTACTTAAAAGATCTTCAGTATAGTGAGCTATGTAACTTTTTGTCTTTAACATACTTGTGTCTAACAGGTGTAACATGACGCGTATTACAGAACTCTTAAAAGTATATCAACACTTCATAAATGTATGCCTAAAGGAGTCCAGATAACGTAAATGGTGACTGAAACTCAAGTATCAAATTAGCAAATCAAATGGGAAAAAGAGAGAGATTATGGTATTTATGCTTGGATAGCGCTCAGTACTGTCATGCAATTACTGCAGATGAATTTACACACATATGGTTAAGTTGCAACTGTTTTAAGCTAATGCAACTTTAAGATCATGATATACTAAGTGGACATATTTACTCACAGCTGAAGCATGCATTATTATAACAATAAATGTAACTATTACATGTAAAAGCTGTCTTCGGAATTAGGAAATTCAATGAGAATTCGTGAAACTTCTTCACTTCTGTAACAACGTCTACTTGTCACATCCGTGATAACATGAAGCAAGTAGTAGTACTATCCGTTCTAGGTAGTATAATGTTATTTATACATACAGAATAACTAATTGACAGTAAAAACATTTGCGCATATACACATATATATAAATTCTTCCTTTGTGTTCACTTGATGACAAGCTATCTGTGCAGATTACTCAAAACCACAAATAGATGCATTAGCAATATGAACTCTTCATAACATACAGTGAAATAACAAGCATAATTTCTACGGTATAAGCAAAACGTAAGTAGAAATTCAACTATATCGCAACTCAGTGGTAGGATTACCCCATTTTTTGCTTAGATTCAACAAAATGCTTCTCTATTTGTAAAGAGCACATTCGAAAACTCTAACAGGACTAATTATATCACCAGTCCAAATCTAAAGAGAAGAATCTAATCATAACGCCAAAAGCACAAACTTGTCCTTACCTGTTTGTGATAAAATTTAAATCCTAGCATACTTAACTGAGTTCTCAATTGTTCCAATTTGTTTGGCAATTTTCATCTACCGAGATTTGACTAACTTCCAGAGCTAAATCGAATCATTTCTATATTGAAACTACATGATTATGTAAGCTAGAATTCACCTCATATCAGAATGATTAAACATTAACTACACATTTTTTAAGATATCGATTAAATCACAATTTGCCTGAATATATGAAACCGAAGCATCAAACACTTTGAAACAGAGCAACTAATTCAAATCATAGACTCGATCAACAGCATCTACTTTCAACTAAATTGTTACTATCAGTCCATAACGAAAATATTTCAATTACATTTAGAAGATTCAATGCAGTCACAGGAAGATTATAGTATGACTAATCGGAATCCAAACCTGAACAGAGAGACTCGAGAGACAGATTCTCCGCGCCTTCTTTCTCCTCCACGGGACACATAGAAGTTAGCGACAACAGCTTCATGGAACTGATAGGAAATCCAAGCAGCTGAGGGTTGCGAACGAGGTAGCAAAGGCAAATCGCAGTATCATCCACAAATGCCGCCGAGAAGTTATCGCAACACTGAAACGGAGGCGAATCAGAGATATTGTTCGGTGGATCGGAAATGTACGGAAGGCATGGCGAGAACGCCACCAGTTCGTCGACACAGCTAATTGTGGTTGACAATGACTCCGGCGAAGTTGGCGGAAGTTCTGGTGGTTCCGGGAGTGTGCCGGCGGCGAGTAGGAGAACTGAGAGAAGGATCAGTACGCCTGTCATTGCTCTAGACAGAGAGAGAAGCGGTTATTTTTTGTGTTGCTGATCAAAGTGGAAACTAATTTATACAGATTCTGAAAGTTGGGTAGAATGTTTTATGCATGGAAGAAAGTAGCGAATGGCGGGAAAAAGGAGATTTTTTATTTCCATATATGCCCTCTAAATTGTGGCGAATTTACAGGAATGGTGTAGTTCGTTTTTTCTGCTTAGCAAACTAATAACCCCTCTAATTATCTGGAATAATGATAAATTTAAAATTTTACTATACATAGCGAGAGTTTGAGTTTTATCGCAGACACTGCAAATATCTTCACACGGATATCGTATAAGAGCAGATACACTTATTAGGTTAGTGGATACAATACATTTCACTATTGTTATGTGAGCAAATCCAATGTATTTCACTACGTTTTGAAACCAGAATACGGCTACTGTTCATTATTAAGAGTAATATCTTACTATTTTTCACAAGGTACGAATAAGATATGCGTACACATTGATATTATCTTTTTAAAACTCCTCTTATGAGATGACATTGATATCCTATGATAAGAACTATATTTGACACAGAACTCATAAACTAGCTTGTTCTTTGATTAATTATTATGTATTGTTTTCGTTACTTCGATTATTGTATTATATGTTGATGTTACTGCTCTCTTCTATATTATTATATCTTTCTATACGTGATTTTATTATTCTTTACTTGAGCCGATCGAGCATCTATTAAAATCAATTTCTCTACCTTCACATCACACGGTAGGTAAAACTGCCTAGCGCCACCACCCTCTCCAGACCACACTCGTGGGATTACACGTATATGTTGTTGCTGTATATTTGACACAAATACTTAAGTCAAAGAAGAAAGCAGTTGGATAAAACCTTGAAAATTATGCTAATGTTAATAGTGAAATATGTTGAGTAAACATGATGGTCCCATTGTCAATATATACCTTCAATTTGTAGGAAAAAACAACTGATAAGCAATCAAATTCAAGTGGTAACAGGGCAGGAAAGTCATTCAGGCTACACTCTCAAAATAAAGCAAATTGAAAAGTTAAAAAAAATGTATATAGATTTTATCAAGACTCCCAAAAAATATCATTATACAGATAGTACAAATTGATTACAATGAAACAAAAAAAAATGTTTGCAAACAATGTTCACATACTATAAGAATCAATTCAGTATAACTTCACTACAATTGCTCCACAGGCTACTAGAACAACAAATACTGAAAGTCTCCGTGAATCCGGGGCAGAAGAAGGCGTTAAATTAGGCCTAAATCCTGAACCAGTATTTCCAGATCCGTCATCTGTTAAAGATGGCGGTGAAAATCCATTGTAAGGATTTCCCAATCCGCCGCCTGATGGTGATGGTGGTGTTAAGCCTGGTGTTGTATCACCTCCTGGTCCCAAAGGAGGATTGAATGGTTCAGGAACATCGTCACCTGACATTAATTTACATGAACCAATTTAGCAATTCGCGAAAACTTATAAGCCAGATTGGACCTTAGGATTCATCATGCTCAACTCAATTCGCGAGAAATTTTAAAAATGAATTACCCTCAGGGCTTGGAGCTTGAGGTGGTCTAGGATTCCGAAATCGTGGAGATCCTGATGGTGATAAGGCAGCTGGACCTGTCACACCAATATAGATTTATTAGAACAAAGTTTTGTAGTTTTGATTTAGAAAAAATTGTTCGTATTAGTTTAGATTAATTGAGTTGTTTTAGTACCTTGAGCTGGAAGAGGAGTAGAAGAACCTGCAATACAAGAATTGAAAACAGAATTAGTTACCAAATCATACTACTCGAATGCCAAATGACGTTTATACCCCTCTAAGGGAACGTGCACTCGAGCTACAATTCACGAGTGTTATCGACATTTTAGAAGCTAAATATCGGGAAAATGTTTGATTTTACCTTTGCATTCAATAGGAACACCATCTTTGTTACAAGCTTTGGGGAGGGAAATCGCGACGTTTCTGTTTGGTATTTTAAAAGGAACATTTCCAGTAACAATAAGGCAGAGGCAATCTTTGCCACTGGCAGTAAGTTCCTTAAGAGATTGACAACAAGCTGAAGTTGGTGAACCTGAACCATTATTGCTCATGAAATTTATACAAGGGCTAAAGCTACTTAGCATCGCGCTACTACATGCTGTACTAATTTGCCCCGAAACTTGTATTCCAAAAATCATCAATACTATGGCTAAATATGGTACAAAACGTTGAAAATCCTTAAAAAATTTGAACCCTTCCATTAGTGTTTTTTTTTTGAGATTTTAAAGAATAGTAATGTGAAGGGAAAATGTGAGAAATGTAGAAGAAATTGATGTTGGTTGTGAGAGTGATTATAAGAAAGGTTGTTTTATAGATGAACATTGAGGTTTAAGAAGAAAATGGAGGGAAGAAAAATATGAAAGTCCAAAAGTGCTATTGAAGTTCAACTACCTTTAACTAACTTCATATCAAACAGAGTATTTAGGTGACCTTGCAAGTTTTATTTTCTTTGTATGACTTTTTTGGAAATCTTTAGAAGCTAAATTATGTGTTTAAATAAGATAAAATATATATTCATTGACTTCTTCAATGTTGTCTTCTTGTGACCATAGGTCATAAATTTGAGTCTGTGTAAGCCGTCATTAATACATGCATTATGATAAATTGTTTGTATCACACTCATTATGTGTTGTCTTTTTTTCCGACTCTTTGTAAATGTGAGATATTTTGTGCATCGATAAAAGTCATTAAAATCGTAAGGAAGGTCCTTGAAATGCATATAATAATTAGTTATCATTCAAGACGTAGTATTCTTATTTAATAAGTATACTTTATTACTAATATATCTTATATCCCAAAATTCAAGATTCTTTCTTTGAGTAATTAGGTGATCACTCTTAAGAACCAATCGAAAAAAGTTCATCAATTTTGCCTTAAAAGTTATATACATTGTTATAAATAATTATTTTATATTATGAATATTTTTAATTTGTAATAGTAAGTTAGTTTACTATTTTTATTAAATTTACAATAAATCATGTTTATAAAGTTATCAGGATTTATATATAATTAATTACCTTATAAGTCATACGATTGTGTAGAATAATTAATAATAATCAATAAATCATTAAAATAATGCTAGGAAATATCATGGTCATACAGGTGGTAACAAAATATACCAATATTGCATGATGTAGTTAGGTCTCCTTCCCCACAACAGCCAATTCTTGACGTAGTAGAAGTTTGATTACTTGTAGCTTTTTTTCTTCTCATCTTTATGAACTTTTATAATATTGGTCTCAAGTGATGAGTTAGGAATATGGATTTTGACAAGTTAAAATGAATTGAGTTAACAAATAAGTAAGTTCATGATTCAATTAATAGTTATTTGAATTGAAATGGATTGACTGAAAGTATATCGTAATTCGACTCATTCAAGTTTTATTAAAAAAAAAAATTTGTTGTTTTACAATTTTTTAAGTATCCCATAATTTTTTAAAATTATTATTATGATTATCAAATAAAAAAATATCTTTTTGATAATATTCAGATAACTTTTTTATGAGTCAATTTAATTAAACTACATGTTAGTCTAACTATATTTGACTGAAATGAATCAGACTAAAATAGGCTAAATGATGTAACCAAACAAAGGTTTCTATGGATCATTTTGACTCATTGCAAATATTCTTTCAAAATATATGATCTTTTTCACATGAAATTGATAAATGTTAACATATGAAATTGATAAATAAAAATCTAAGTGATACTTGTAAGTTTCATTTTCTTCTTTTTAAAATTTAACGGAATATATTATTTTTTATTAAACGGGATAGCATTTCATCTTTCTTTTCTTATAATATCTAACCACCAAATTCTTCAAATATATTTCATTTTACAACTATCGAGATGACTTGTAATTCTTGAGTTAGTTTTTATTAAAGGATAGCTATGACTGTGTGCTTGCCTTTTGAATTTTTGCCTTTTGCTTTAAATATTTTAGAAAATACAAGAATATCGAGTATTTACCTTGAAGACCACTCATAATATAATCCCCTGTTTCAATTTAGTTGGCTTATTTAAAAGTGCTAGATGAAATTAATTAATATTCAGTATGAATTTATTTGAAAGGTACTATAAAAATTATAAGTTGCTTTGTTTATTGTTATTTTGTTGTCATATTTTTTTTGCAAAGGATTTGCATACATGATCTACTCTTTTCCACTTATACGATTATATTGAGTATGTGATTATTATAATAAAAATCGTAATGATTAAAAATTCAAAATATTTAAAAAGTATTTTACAAAAGTTAGTCAGAAATATTATTTTTACGGTTCACATAGTATCTACTATAAACAAATTTAGAAAAGATTCATAAAATTTGGTAAAGAAAAATTTAATCAAATACATACTTAGATTCTTTAAATCAAATAGAACCAAAGACGTACCAAATAATAACATAACAAGTACATACTATATTATATCCCTGTACAACATCAACGTCACTAATAAATAATTCTAGTAATTGCTTTATACAATCTATATTTTAATTTGTAGTCATATATCATCAAATTACTAATATTAACTCAAACAATCGCTCCAAATGCAGCTAACATAATTAATAATGGTGAAATTCCATGACCAAGAAAAGGTGCAGCCGATGGTGTCGCCGGAGTTAGCCTGTCGGAATTATTTGCCGGAGTTGATGGATCCGTCGGCGGAGATGGTGGCGTTAGAGTTGGAATGTCATCGGCTGGTGGCGATGAATTAGACGGCAACGGCGGATGGACAGTTGAATCTGAGAGAAATTTGTTATTGAGTTAAATCATATTGTACTAATTAAATTTATAAGTTAATTAATTGAAGAATAAATAAAATTATTAGGTCTATTGTATGATGTAAATATGTAAAAAAATATACTCTTTATGTCTCAATTTATGTGACATATTTCGTTTCTCGAGAGTCTAACAATTTAAGTTTGACCGAGAATTTGCCCA